CTTCATTCCCACTGGTTAGCTTTGTGTTGCTCGTCCTGTCCTTGTAGCTTTGGTCATGGCCTCTGTGGGAATGTAATTTTCAGACATTTCTCTAGGACCTGCTGTGTGTCAGGTGTGGGAGTCAGGCAGGAGTAAAACAGGAACAAATTACTATTTCTGCTCTTAGAGGTGATTGAACTATTTAACCACTGCACTGACCAGTCAGAACGGTTGCCAGGGAGAGCCCTGTCCATGATGGCCCCATGCTGGGGTGGGTGGGCATTCATTGCTTAGTGGTTGGATAGTGAAGAGGTCTGAGGGCAAATGATAGGAAGGGAACACAGAGCTGTAGTCATTTTCCAGCTGGTGAGGAGGCCTTTAAATATTGCTACCCTGGTATACAGCAGTGGCTGTCCCATGGTCACTCTTCTTGTTCTCAGACACGCTCCCCCACATGAAGATGGGGAGGCCTCTGACCTCTGAAGGAAGGCATTGTCATCCTGGCCACTGGCCAGCACCCCGAGCTTGCTCTCCATCCTGCCCTTGGGATTCTCTTGGCTGATTTTCTGTTAGACTCTTACAGGCTCCTGGCTGAGAAGTAGTCCATTGGTGAGGGCACAGAGCCCTGGCTGCCCCTGACAGCTTTCCAGGTGTGTGGACGGTTGCATCCAGAGTCCCTTTTGTCAGGGGCTAGGTGACAGCATCTAGAGACTCTCCAATAGAACTGGCAACAGCCAGACCTTGCAGCTCATGGGGACTAGCCAGGGTGGTAGGCATGAGACATGTGGGCTGGGGCCCCTAGAATTTCCCTGGGCTTTCCATGTGGATGTGTAGATGGGTAGAGTTGAGAAGGCTTTTCGTGAGGATCTTGTTTTCTTGCTTCATTTGAGAATATCTGACTTTCCTCCCTGGACGTGAGACCAAATGTGGTTCCAAAGCGAGGTTTCTTTCACAGGGTCTGTGGTTAACTGTCCCCACCACTTGCTACTGATCTCCTGCCAGGCCTGGGTATCACCGCTGGTGCAGGTTGGGAGGGGAGAGAGATGGAATTCTTAGCACCCAGCTATATTAGGAGGTTGAACCGGGGGTTCTGGAGGTGACCTCTGGTGGTTTTTATGGCATGGTTCTCTTGCTGGTTTTGTGCTGGCTCTGGGGCAGGGGGGCCCACTACAAATCCAAAGTTCCTCTGCCTCCAGGCTGTCAGCTTGCTCTGCACCGGCCTTTCTCCTTCCCTGTTCTCACCAATGGCCAACTTTCTGGGAAAGGATGAAGGAGGCTGAGCTCGCCCACCCAGGAGCAGAGGGGTTCGAGGGAGCAGTCTCCTCTGCTGGGTGCACTAACCCGCCCAAGGCCTTTCTACAAGGGCTCCCAGCCACTGGCCTAGACCCGGCAGGGCAGCAGCCGCCTGTTTAGTGCTGCTGTTTTTATAAGCTAATGAGGGCAGAGTGTGAGCCACAGGCGATGATGCTGGGATATTAACTGTGACAGGAAGCTTGATCATAATTATCTTAACGAGGATAGGGTTAATTACAGTGGAAACTTAAAAGTTCTCTCTGTTTGAATCCACTGGAGCCGAATGCATTGTGATGTTTTGTCATTTTTGATGTGACTTTGGAAAAGGCCCTGGGACTCTCGGCAGCCCAGCCACAGCGCGGCTCCTGGGGGAGCCTAGGCAGAGCCCTGCAAACTGAGATGGTACCTGTGGGTGAGATCATGGCAGCTTTCCTCCCCGTGGAGCGGAGGTGGGAGGCAGGCAGTCTGCGATGAGCTCTGGAGGTGCTGATTAAGTTTCCAGAGCAAACCACCTGCCACAGGGTGGACCCTGCTCTCCTTCTTCCTTACCAGGCTGGGAAGAGCTGTCTCCAGCTGGCTTCCCTGGGGAGTGGGTGAAACCTGGCTGGTCCCCTCATACCTACGACATCACAGCCTCTGCTAGGGAAGCTGGCAAATAACCCTGGATGACAGTCACCCATTCCACCAGGGCTCTCATTTGGGGGTGTATTTTGCTGTCCACATACAAGGTTATAGCAGAGAAATTGCAGTCCTGTCCTCATTTTGCCTGTAAGCTACCATTGCTGTCCCATCAAACAGCACAGGCCAGTGTGGTTCTCTCAAACCTTTTCTGCCTTGTCATTTCACTTAACAGAGCATATCTGTTTGTGGACATCTGGCGTATAGGAGTATGAACTCAAAGATTGTTGCAAATAATTTATTTCTCTTACTTCTTTCTGGAAAACAACAAAAACAATAAAATATTTTTTAAGTGAAAAATAAAGCCATCTTCCGGGTGTACGCTTATTTGGTCCCCACATGCCAGGCAAGCCCCACAAATCCTCTCCTCCCTGTCTCCCCTTCACAAAGCTGTGTTCTCTGTCCTCAGTCCCTCAGCTCTGAATTTAGCTGGTTCAATCACCAAGGGCATGCTATCCCATGACATGAAAACAGGGATTTATTAATTAGCAGTCCCCCATGCACACAGTTCCCTTTTTACTGAGCAGCTAATAACCCTACATGGCAAAAAGACTCTGAGACAGGTGATTTGAGATGGATGCTCCTGGCTCCTCTCACTGCAGTAGGAATGCTGCCCCAGAGAACCCTGCACTCCCTACAGAGGTTGTCTCCGTGGGGGTAGGCACCCCGCTAGTGTGTCCTGTTTGTCCCTCTTCATGCTATGTCATTTTGTTTTATGCCTTCCCCGAAGCACTTTTGGAAGGGAGCTTTCTTCTGCTTGCCAGTTGCCAACCATTTGCTGATTCTCATGATAAAAGTATAATATTTGCATAACATAACTCAGGAACAATGTGCATTTGGATGCTGCCTTTGACCAGAGCCCAGCTGATGTTTGTGCACAAAAGACTTATTAGCTCCCCATAAGGCTGCCTGACTGGAGCAGCTCTGCTCCCCACTCCCCTCCCTGGCAAACAGGGGCCTGGTCCTGAGAAGCACTTTTGGTTAATGAGCATCACTCATTGACCCCTGTGGAGGGAGGGACTTCAGAAGACCCCAAAGGTCCCCTACACACCTCTATGGTTTTGTCCATCTGCCCACCCCCTGTGTCCCCAACACATCCCCAAGCTCAGATCCTGGGGGGAAAATCAATGCATCAAAGAGGGAAGGAAAAGAAAGGAATCAGCCTTTGCTAGTAACTTGTCAGTGCCCTTAGTCTCTGTATGATCCTCTGCGCTGGAAGGAACAGAGCGCACAGTTCAGAACTGATCTCAGGGTGCTCAGATTCACACTGCAAGGTCGTGGAGGAACTGAGGCAAAGCCCTAAAACTTCCTGCTTAGATGTGTCAGTGTTTTGCCTCCTCGAACCATGAGGAAAAAGAGAACAGAGGAGCAGGAAATGAAATCTGAAGACCCTTAGCCCAATACATGCGCAGCCCTGTCCTTCCACATTGAGCAGGCAGTGTTGGCTATCAGAGCAGGTGCGCTCTGGGTGTTGGGCCCCCCCGGGGGGGGGGACCACCCTGAGGACTGGCAGAAACAGGCCTGCAGGAGCTCTGGGCCCAGTGGCATCTGCAGATTTAATTACTTACAATGCATTTTATATCTTGCAAGTATTGACTCCCTGCTTTGGAGACTTCTTGGCAGAGGTAACCAAGAGGGAGATCTGGATGCCTCGGGAAAGCCCTGGTGCTGAACTTCACACACGCTGTATATACACATTTGCACACACAAGCATGCAGCACAGTAATGGAGGTGCTATCAGTAAATGAATAAATAGTGTGGACGACATCTTCCTGATTCGTCACATTTTATAGAGTAGTCAGGGATCCCATGCGAGTCCTCCCTCAGATAGACGTCGTAGCTCAGCTGTCAGCCTGTGCAAGCTCAGCACATATCCTGGGTCTGGCAGGTGAACGAGCTGGGAGTTTGTGTCTGCGTAAGTCTCTGTACTGGGCGGCTTTCTTTAATTAATGTCTGTGCACATCTGAGCAAGTGCTTGTGCAAAATTGCCCCATGCCTCCTCCACCCTGACCTCTTGTCTTGTGATGGGCACTCACGAGAGCCCATCAGATGAAGAGTTAACTTTCAGCTGTGTGTATAAGCAAAGCCGTTTTTCCCTTTCTGATACATGATTTCACCCCCCTTGAGCTGGGTCCTTAATCCTTTTAGATGCCTTTTATTTACTGCCTCAACATCTCCATTGCTAGGTCTACACTTATTTTTTTTCCCCTTGCTTTTCAAAAATAAAGTGAGAAATTCACGTTCCATAAATTAAAACACTAACTCCAGGTCAAGAGCTTTTGAAGCAAAAAAAAAAATTCTCTCAACCCTCCTCCTCCCAACAAAACCCAAAACAAATAAAAAGAAATAATGAAAGAAAAAGAAAAGGCCCTCTCAGGCTGGAGCGATTATGTAATTCCACAGATGCCTTGCTTTTTGGGCAACCATGGGGACACTGGGCAGAAGCAAATTAAGTGATTAGTGAAGAAAAAAGGCAGAGGGAGGGGAAAAAAGTGAAAGGATATGAAAGGAAAGAAAAGAAGCCCTCCTTGCCATTTCCCCTGCGACCGTACAGAGGAGAACCGCTAAGAAATGATACTTGAAGTTATATTTATTATTGTAAGAGGGGTATGATATTTCTAGGCAGGAATGATGGATGACAACTTAAATTTGTGTCCAGGGAATGAAGGTGAACTGTGACAGAGTTATTTATCTTGGGAATGGAGGTTAGGGTCAGCCCAGGCTGGGTGCCTGAAGGCACAAGACATTGACAAATTTATCCTGCAGGCCGTATCTGAAGCCCTTTGTTTTGGATCCTGGCTACTCACTAAGTGACCCTCATCCTTCATGTTGGCAATGCGTGAAGGATGCGGTGAGTGCCAGCGGCCCCTTCTCCCCCGCCGCCCCCACCCCGGCTCCCGCTACTAATTCTTGTCATTCACTTTGCTGACAGGCACCAAGCCCAAACTATTCCCAGTCCTGAAAGGGAAGGTTAAAATATTTATTTCGGCTCATAATGGCCTCCCTGATTTAGTGCAGGATCATTTTTCCTGTTGCCTTTGTCATTGCAGGTCACTGGAAGGACTGAGCGCATTCAGGAGCCTGGAGGAACTCATCTTGGACAACAATCTGCTCGGGGACGACCTGGTGTTGCCAGGGTTACCCCAGCTCCACACCTTAACCCTCAACAAGAACCGAATATCCTTTCCTCTGCCTGTCGCCCCCACTCCTTGCCGCCCCCCACTCCCCGCCCAGCCCCACAGTTGTCCCCTCCCGCCCGCCCACCCCCACCACCAAATACCTGCAAAATGTCAAATGAGTTTTATGTGTCAGCTAAATTAAAGTATGTGAAATACAGTCCATGGGCAGACACAGCGTTCTGTCTTCTGGCACCCGGGACACTTCAGAGTAATTTATTATAGGTCATTCATAAATGAAATGCACCATTATATCTTCCTGTTGCTCCATTTTAGTGTAGAGATCTAAGTTATGGCTGCGAAGAAATCTTTTTAATAGATAAAAATAGAGAAAGAAAATAATGTCACTGCTGCGGAGGAGGCGAAGCTGGTCGGGTTGGCTTGGGCTTGTGTGGGATAGCGACCTCTGGTGGGAAGTGGGAGGTAATGCCGCTAAGCAAACTTGGTCTTCTGGGTTTCTGGAAGACTCTGGTGCAGGCAAGAGTAACAGTTCTGGTAAGAAAGAGGAGAGGAGCAAGAGCTGAGGTGGAAGAGAGGTATGACAGTCAGGCCTGGCTCTGCATTCCCAGGTGTGTACCTCACTGGCTTGTGATAGGGGCCTAGGAGAGCCATTGGGCCACGCTTCCCCTGAGTAGGTGCCCATTACAGACAGACTCGCAGGGACTACCCGCAGTGGATTCTGCAGTAAGAACAGAATCCAGGGAACCTTTTCTGAGACCCAAGCCACATAACTCCTCTGTTGTTAGAGTTATGGATTATCATGCACTAGAATGCCAACTCCACAAGGCAGGGAGTTCTCTCCATCCTTCACACATAGAATACTGCCTGTCATAGAGTACAAGTTCCATAAATATTTGTGGGATGAACAAATGAGTCATTACCACTAGCTTTTCATTAGTGGACACTCCTAGGCATCAGGCTCTGTGCTACGTCCTTTAAGTATAGTATTTTTCATTCTTACCAAATCCTGTTAGGAGGGTGCACTTTTTCCATTTATCTAGAAATGGAAAGAGGTGTAGTATAGACCTCCACCCCCACCCTTGTCAGATAGTTAACAAGATGCTAAGCCCTAGATTCCATTTCAGATTGTGGTTATAGTCAGAGTTCTTTCTGTTCTCTGTGGCTCCAGAGTTGAAGTTCAATTGCTTTGTCTAACTGAGAGAACATTTGAAACCTGGAGTAGTTAAATCACTTGTTCACATTCATGTAATAAGGTAGAAATAGAAAAGAAACCAGGGCATTTCCCATTAGATTGTAAAATAAAGGCAGATATACCTGTTAAGTTTGACTTGTATGCTTATGTCAGCATTTAAAGACATTTTGCAAAGCATTTATTAGCCATTGTCTATTCTTCAAGCCATAAGTTCATATTTTCTTTATTTTGTATTGTCTCCGTTTGCCCTTGCTGCTGTGACAGAATCCTGTTGAGTAGAACAATGAGCGTTTATTTCTCATAGTCTGAAAGCTGGAGGTTAGTATTTCAACATTCAAATTTGAGAAGACACAAACATTCATATCTTAGCAAGTATGGATCTTACAGCCATTATTAATGGCCACTCTAATAGAGAAGTGGAAGGCCTCTAAGTAAATTCAGTCTGGGTCATAATGACAAATCTGGTCGGGGGTTTCCCTCTTCTACCCTCTGGTCAATCAAGTTTCCTAGTCATTGTTTGAAAACTTATTACAGCTTATTAAACTTACTACAGCTTATAAAATATTTATAGCTAGTGTGTCCTGTGGCTTCCTTAGTGGTCTTAGGAGATCATATGGATGATATTCTCAAATCAGTCAAGGAGAGAAAGGTTATTAGACTAGAATTTGTATGATATGGGTCCCAAGACTCACTTCCTGTGGCTCATGTCACTGGTGAATAGCAGAGTCCACAGACTTGGGGTCATGGGTCAGTGTAATCATATTTAGCTGTGTGGCCTTGGACAAGTCATTCTCTGTGACCTCTGTTCTTTTTTAAGGAATTAAGTTGAATTGAATGATGGTTTTATTCTTAGTATTGTAGACACCAGAGATTGGTGAGCCTCTTGGATCCCCAGCATTGAGAGATTATCTTTTACGTTTGGTTGGGCCCTTTCCCTACTCCATGTATCACTTTCCACATCAAGTAGCATGATGCTGAGGGAGTAATAGAATGGCTGGGAGGGGCTGTAGAAGAAGATGCCACGAAGCTATAAACATGACTGGGTATGTCATTGTGCTATTGTGGTGCGCTTTATTATCAGTAGATACAGAAGCCAAGGGTTGGCTCTCCCAGGATGCAGCATGACTTCTTTCCTTTTTTCTTCACTGGCCTGTTGGACCAGAGATTCATGAAGACGAGATTCCCCATCTGCTTGATCCAAAAGTCAGAGAATGAAAGACAGGTAAATGCAGGCAACATCATATGCCATCCTCTAAGTCTAACACTTCTGACTCTATATTTTCAGCCCTCTAACTCTCTTACCTAATTGGGAAAATGCCCCAGGTTCTCAAACAATTATTAGGTTCCATTTTTCTGTTGCTTCCCCATGAAATACCTTACATGTGGGCTTTTGCTACATAATAATCCACCCCAAAACTTAAGGGATTACAACAACAAATATTTTGTTTGCAATTGTATAGGTCAACTAATTGGCTAGGGCTCAGCTGGATGGTTCTTCTGCTGATCTTACTTTGGATAACTCACGTTACCACCATGATTTGAAACTGTTGGAGCTGGATGGTCTAGATGGTCTCACCCATATGTCTGGAAATGGGTGCAGGCTGTTGGCTGAACTGCTCATCTCTAACAGGCTGCATGACCCACATCACAGGAGAGGAAGGTTCCAGAACAACGTCTAGGGTACAAGTACTTTGTAAGTACACTTGTATTATGAAAGCAAATGTAGAACAAATGTGGGTATAGAGAGGCACAGCTCATTCCCATAGCAATTTTCTACACTGGCATTTCATCTCCTTTAAGATTTTAGCTTTACTTTTGTCATAAAGGGCACCAAAGCAATTAACTATTGACCTCCTAAAAGGCTAAGTATTAGCTTTTTCTCATAATTGAATCTTTCAGCACATTTGCAATCTTGCTAGCAAATGATATATTTTTTTTTTCAAATTCTTTTGTGAAATTTGTTTTATTTTTATCTACTTATTCATTTATTTATTTTTTGGTTTTGGCATCTATAGAATTTTTGCCCTCCCTAATTAATCTGCCCTATAAATCAAGATTTTTTCCTTTTTTGTTTTTATTCACTTTTAACTATGTCTAAACAACTCTGTTTACTATGCTCTGGAAACTTGGGTTGTTGGCTTCCTTTTTCCTTTAGCAGGTGGAACTGTTGCATAGTATTTAAGAACAACAGGCTCTGAGCCAGACTTCCTGCTCTTGTACCTGAAGTCTGCCATTTGCTACATGACCTAGGTCAAGTTACATAATATCTCTATGCTTTGGTTTCCTCTGCAAAATGGGGACAATAATAGTACTCATCCCATAGTTTATTATAAGAGAACTCTAAATATCTAAACAACATTAAGTGCCAGTAACATAGTAAGTATGTGTATATTGCTACCACTACTCTAGAGAAGTATGTGAACTTATCTGACTTGGTCCCCATTATAATCAAGGCCAGAGCATATTCCTTTGACTTTTATAATTTCATATTACCTTAATATTCTACGAGTTGGACACCATTCTTCTCATTTTTATGGAAAAGCTAGGAGTGTAAGCTTTTGGATGTCATGTAGATTGTCAAAGGTGGGGTTCAGTCTAGAACCCAGGTATGCTGATTTCTAGCCCCAAAGTCTGAAACTCAAAGGGGAGGCAGTCACTGCACAAAGAGAGGGACTTAGATGTGGGGGAGTCAGTTGCCTGTGCCTACCATGGTGAAGCCCTGCTCCAGCTAGGTCTGAGGAATTCTGCTCATGAAAGAGATCCCAGAGTCCACACTCAGTAGCACCAATCAATTCCTCCCACCCGATCTGTGTACCTTCTGCTTGACTTCTCATATTCGTTATACCTCCCCTCTGCTCCACTTTAGTTCAGCTCTCAGCTTTGGTGTCTTGCCTGGAATCTCTGAAAGCCTGGTTGTCTTTGAGCTGTCTCACCTTTGGTTCATTTAGCATGGCCAGGTAGTCTCTGGCCATGAACTTGAATCCCTCTCTCCGCCCTTATATTTTCACCTCTCTCTCCTACTATAAGCGTGCACACACTATCCATGACTCTCCCACCAGTACAGGAAGGGTCTTTGGTAATGGTGTCAACCATATCATAAATGAATATTCAACCACAAGTAAGGGACCAAATAAAAAAATCTGAAAACATACATCTTTAATTTTTACACAATCCAATGTTCTCCCTGGTCTTCCCTTTGAGGATTACACTGACATCATTTGAAATCACATTCATTTTGTGTTTCCCTGTTTGCTTTAGTACATTGTCTGAAGAGACAACAGGGTTTGAATTGTAGCACCGGATGGAAGAAAGAATGCTACATGTTACACAGCTGGGCTGTGGTGAGCAGACCACTGCATGAGTCAGAAGACAGGCCTGAGCTCTGATAGCAATTTGCTGTCCTCTTGGGCGAAGTCTCAGTGCCTTGTCAGGAGCCTTGGTTTCTTTATAAAATGGGTAATATAATATGTACTTCAGAGTATTGTTGAGAAATTTCAATGATATAGTTATATGGGAAGCCGCTTTATGAACACCCAAAGATTTTACAACTTCTTAGTACATTTTACTGTTAGTTAAATCTTCAGTGCTTTAAAAACTGAGCCTATATTGAAAGTAATCTAAGGTACAGAGCATAGTTGGATAACAGCACATTGTGATCTCCCCCAGAAACATATAAGACTCTTTAATTTTTGTGTTAGGAAATCATGAGTCCTGTTTTCCCCTAGAATGCAGTTTCTCTAGGATCTAAATTTGAATCCAGATTCTGCCACTTTTTGGCTGTGTGACCTTTAAGCCTTTTCCTTAATTGTTATTTGGGTGTGATAAGGACTGCTGCTTGAGTATAGATCTAAATGAAATAATATGTCATTGTACTGCATATTTAGCATTCAAAAATCCTTCATTAGGATTATCCCTTGTTAAAATCCCCCCAGGGTGTCAGAAGCTATCCTTTGACCTAGAGCTCAGCCTAGAGTGAAGGATGAGCCACTTCTCACCTGGGAGACCACTTTGGACCTGAGCAACTGGACACACACGCCAGAAGGCTCCCCTCCTCCTTCCCACTCCAAACTTGCAAGGCAAGAGGCTGCTTTGATCTTGGACCCTCCGCAGAAAATCTCCCTTGGCAAGCCCAGCCACGACAGCTGGGCTCCGTGATGGCAACTTTCTGTAGACAACGTTGAAAAAAATCTAAACGCCAAGTCCTCCGGAGAAGAGTTGATGAGGGAAACCAGGTGTGTGCTGAGAATCCAGCTGGAGAGAGTTGTAACTCTGCCAAATAGATTCATTTTTTTTTTTTTTTTTTAAAGGAAGAAAAGTCACTCTTGGGAGAATCCCTGAATCCGTCTCCACTGCCGTGGTCTTGGTCAGCCAGAGACATGGAGTTTCTTCTACTGATCGCCTCTGGTTAATTTTCCATGCAACTTGACAAAAAGGAATATGACAAGTTCTATCTCAGCTCCAAATCAGGCAAGACAGGGCTGTGTTTGTCCTCGCTGACCCAGGGGACCGAGGAGCCAATTAAAACTCCTTCTCCTATTTCATGCTGTGGTGGTGGAATCAACACAGAGTTGAAGAGCAGCTCCAGCGCATGCGGGGTGAAGGCGCTGGGGCTTCCTGGCTGGTGTGGGTTTGGGGGAGACCGCCCCGATCAGCCCCCTTTATCACTTTGTAGGTTGTCGAATGATGGCACTTCTGTCATACAAAGTGTCCTAAATGAGGCAGACTCTGGGAAATCCCCTGGATTCACTGGCATAGGATAGCTGAAGCTTCTTGAAGCCTGTAGACCTTTTTCCCAAGGAATTCCCATGACCAGGGCATTCAGAGGATCTCTCTTCTTGGTGTTTGTGTAAAGGCAGGTTCAGGTTTTGTGGGGTGTGAAACTTGACTAACTTGAAGAGTCCTTCTTAAGATGAAAGTTACATGATTATAAATGTATGAAAATAATGTTTATTTGAAATAAAAATATATGAAAGAAAACTTTAAAAACTTTAAGTGAATAAATCCCACCAATGTCAAAACACTAGAAAAGAAGCAATCCTTTTAAATGAAATATGCCTATATGGGAAGTTTTTCCCTATTTTTTTCCCCCTGCAAATTCCCTTATAGCTTCATTATGGCATGAAATTTTGTGATGTTTTCTGTAGAAAAAAAAAAAAGATAACTCCTTCTTAGAGCATGAATGATTGAAGTTTTTATTTTTATTTTTATAGTTGAGAAATGTTCTATTTCACTGCTGCTGTGGGTTGGATAAGTTTTGCACAAAGGTCTGTGTGTTAATGGCTTGGTGCCCAGGGTGGCACTGTTGGGAGGTGGTGAAACCATTAGGAAGTGGAACCTAGTGGGAAGTCCTTAGGTCACTGGGAGCATGCTCTCAAAGGGGATCATGGGATCAGGGCTTCTTCCTTTATTTCTCTTTCTTCCTGGCTCATGAGGTGAGCCATTTGCTCTATTACATATTCCCCACCATTACCATCTGGTATGCCCACTAAAGGCCCAGAACAATGGGTCTACCAGATCTTGCACTGAAACTTTTTAGCACTGTGAGACAAAATCTACCTTTTTTCCCCTTTATTAGTTTCTTATCTCAGGTATTTCATTATAGTGATGGAAATCTGACTCACTATTATTCATTGTTGGTAGTTTCACCAGTGTACCTTCAGTATAACTTTTGAGATGATTTTATTTTGGAGAAACTCTTACCCATTTCTTTCATATTTGAGCTTTTTAAGATTTCAGAACATTTTGGTGAGGGATGATGGTGTGCATGTGCCTTTGCAAGTATGCACATGCTCAACATCTTCTTCTTCAATGTTTGAATTGATGAATTTGTTAATCATTGCATCTTCAGTTTTATCCTGTCCCTGCATGTTGATGTCAGCCTGGTGAGAGGTGGAACTATTACAGGAAGTCATTCCTACTGAAACTGTTGTAATAATTTAATCAGACACAGAAGTGACTATAGGCTACACAAATACATTCTACTAAGTAAACATGACTCCTAGAGAGTTCTCCTTAGCCAGATCCCTAGGATTCCCATAGCCATTCCTTTTGTCATCTAATTCAAGGGGAAATGTGATGGAGAAAGATAATAATTTTAACTGATTTGCATTCAAATAACCAGTTTTGCAAACTTTAAAAAAATAATACATGTCCATGTGACTGTGTCAGGAGGGTCTTCCCCAGGGCTTTGAAAGGGCCCTGTGTAAGCAAGGAGCCCTTCACACATATGCCTTAATAGCTCTATGTTAAATCTACCTATAAAGACGTACTCCAATTAAAGTAGGTCTACTTCCTTGGTTGGTGGCATGCTAAGCTTCTGCTTGGTCATCACAAACTGTTGAGAAGTGACTGGGATTGCATTCCAACCCAGTTGCCCAGTGTTCCCTCAACTTAAAAATCTTATCAGTTTTGAATTATATTTACTCCAACCTTCATGTAGTAGATGAAGAAGAACTAAGCTTTTAGGTTTGCTCTAAATTAAAAGGTTTGGATGTGACTTTTCTATATATAGTAGAGAGGGCTTTTCTTAGGTCATCTAAGTTCTTCATGCACATAAATAGTTTGAATCATTATGTCAGTACCATGTTGACAGCCAAACCTCTTGCAATCCCACAAAATGAATACTGTGTTGGCCAGAGGAGTGAAGAGCTTGTTTGGTATCCTCCCTAGAATGTGGTCTTGGCCTTGAAGTTTTATGACAACCTGACAGGCATGAGCTACAGTGCTCCTTGTAGCATCTCATGGGTTCCATGTGTGGGGTAGAGGTTGGAGCAACCCATGAAGTACTGGGCCTTGGGCCTCTGTAGGTCCAGGTTCAGGCACAGAGTACTTCATCTGGGTGACACTGTTGGCTCCTGACCAGTCTTAGGTACTGGATAGGGACTTAGAGAATTTTGAGGAAGGCACTCCAAAGCACAGGGTCCCCTGAAGTGTCCCTGCCTGGATACAAGGACAGTGCTGATGGAGTGGTGACAGGACCCTTTTCCTTTTCTAACAATGACTGTGAAACATGCAAAGATGGAATCTACTATAAAAGTTGAATTTTCCCTGGAATTGTTCACTGCCATTTTAACCACTTATATTTTAAAAATGATTTTCTTAAAGAGTATAGTGATTGATTGGGCATGGTGGCTCATGCCTGTAATTTTAGGTACTGGGGAGACTGAGGTAGGAGAATTGAAAGTTCAAGAGCAGCCTCAGCAACTAAGTGAGACCCTGCCTCAAAATAAAAATTTTGAGAAAGACTGGGGACGTAGCTTAGTGGCTTAGTGGCAAAGTATCCCTAGGTTTGATCCTCAGTACCAAAAAATATGGCAAATGAAAATAATGAAATAAAATAATAAATGAAAAAAAGAGAGATCTGGGGATGTAGCTTACTAGTAGAGTAACCTTGGGTTCAATCCCCAGTACTGAAAATTTTAAAAGTAGTATGGCAATTGAACATGAATTTTTTAAGAGTGGTTCCTGTGTTTAGTATTCAGTGATGAAATATGTTGATGTTTAATTCCTGGCTGTCTGCACCCTGTACTTCTAACATTATCTCCTTGGTGGGAGCTTGTCTCTACATTTCTGATATGAACTTCCTTTCCCATTGTCTTTATCTGTAGTCATCCCTGGATGTTAATTGTGAAATATTTGAAAGATTAAAAACTCCTTGTCCATTTTTTTTTCTTTTTGATTTAGGAAATAGGGATGATATTGGCACATGGAAGCCAGTGGTGAGTGAGCCTGATTGCATCTCTCGGTTGCTATTCTTTTCCCTCCTTGTCTGGTGCTCTGCTCATTGGTCTCCCTCTTGCGCCAGCCCAGAGTACACCATTGGTTCTTACCTGTGATGGGGGAAGAACACGTTGTATGAAAAAATGCTTGGAGAAACTTACCTTGGAGAAAAGGAAGACACATACCCTTCAAATATCTGAAAACTCATGGTATGGAAGAGAAGAATGCCTTATTCTCTGTGACCCCAAGCAGTAAAATTGGGTCCATGGGTAGAAATAAGAGGAAGATTCCAGCCCAGAGGAAAGAAAAACTATTTGGTTTTCAGAAATGGAATGTGCTGTCTTGTAGTGACCCTTTGGCAAGTGTGTTAGGGATGGAATCAGACATGACTTAAATGGGGAGTTCATTCTTCTCTGACAAGTTGAAGCAAAGTATAAGAAAATCTGGTTAATATCCCAGGATTCCATAGTATACTGACAGGGATGAAGTAGCCTTTTTGGATGTTACCTTCTTCTCCTAGAGTCAAGTGGACCTTACTTTTTGAAATTATACTCTGAGGCTTTGACTCTTATGTGTGGCCTCTGCTTTTATGTGGTAGTCCCTGTGTGCTCTGCTGCCATTCCCTCGCAAGAACCATTGTGTCTACTGATTTTGTCTCATCTTATGCTCCTGCTAATCATGGCCTCCACTCACAGTCCCTCTAGTCATCACCTTGCCCAGGGCTCAGCTCATAAGTGTGTGGCTAAAGCCAGGAGCTGATATCTGCACTAGGTTAAGTCCTTTCCAATAGCTGTGATTTCATGCATCTACGACTCTTGCACATTTGGTTTGGAAGATCTCAGTATTTGTCTTGATTGGACAGTGAATCCCACTTGGGGAAGGATCATGGAATAATCTCACCACCATGCACCTCCTCTGTCTTTTCTCTTGTATAATCTTCATTGAATATAAAATTAGAGCAGAGTTTCAGGAAATGTATTTTGACCTGCTTGGTTGGATGAAACCTATCCTAAATTACTCTTGTCTTTTCCTCCTTTGTTCCCCTTTACCCCAACGCAATACCTTATTGCCATCAACAAGGTCACTGAGCAAAGCTTAGCTTCCCTACAGACTCTCAGATCAGAAGAGGGGCCAGTCCCTCTTTGCATCCATGCTGTTTCCATTTGTTTCAATGATAAATTGTTTCTACTAAAAGAGAATATAAGTTTTATAGATTTGCATATTGCAGAATGTTTTGCTATATGAAATATGTTTTTTAAATCATTTAAAGAAAACTACAGGGGCTGGGGTTGTAGATCAGTGGTAGAGAGCTCGCCTAGCATGTGTGAGGCACTGGGTTTGATCCTCAGCACCACATAAAATAAATAAATAAATTTTAAAATAAAGGTATTGTGTCCAGCTATGACTAAAAAAACAAAATATTTAAAGAAGAAAAGAAAGCTACAGTGAAAAGAAAAGTGTGATGAAACTTAAGTTCATGTATTCTTCCTCAAGTGACCTGGACTTGGTGTGACTTATGCAGAGAAAGTTTGGGTCGTGTTTCCAATAGTGGGAGTGAACACTTAACACTGCCCTCCACCCACAGCTCAGTCATCACATAGGAGCAGAATCAAAATGTCAGTTGCTAGGCTGTGCCTGCCACTTATGCCCAATGCTCCTTGCTAAGCCCTTTGTCTACCTGGACTAAGATCCTTAACCTTTGTCACATCACTGACTTGGAGCGTCTGCTCGATCACCTGGCAGAAGTGACGCCAGCTCTGGAATACCTCAGCCTGCTGGGTAATGTTGCATGTCCCAATGAGCTGGTCAGCTTGGAAAAGGATGAGGAAGACTACAAGCGATACAGGTAAGTGTCTTACGGTGGGAGACAGGGAAAATAGTGCCTTTGGTGGATGACATCATACTGTGAGGTGGGTAGCTGATGTTTGGTAAATATCAGTGGACTTCCCATGACAGTGTTTAATTTCTTCCTTTTGGAAAACTAAAGCCACTGTCTCCCTTTGTTGAGGTCACAGGAGCCAAGAAGGATGCAAGCCATTGGGTGCTCTAGGTCAGGGGTTGACAAACTTTTTTTTTTTTTTTTTTTTTTAATAAGGGCCAAATAATACGTATTTTAGGTTTTGTAAGTCATGTGGATTCTATTGCAGTTATTCAGCTCTGATGTTTCAGAAAAAGGTAGCCATAAATAATTTGTAAAATAAATGGGCTTGACTCTGTTTCAATAAAACTTTATTTGTTTAAAAAAAAAAAAGCAATAGGCCAGGGCCTGTAGTGTGCTAACCTCTCCTCTATATTGTAAGGTCTTTCTGTGATCACTTTTTGGAGAGAAACCTCTCCAAAGCTTAGGGAGCTCATGTACAATTCCAAAAGGAAGTCCTACAGGCCCATATTGCTCCCCTCTAAAACTAGGCATCAGAGTTTACTTTGCTGGGCTCCAAGTAAGAATGCTTCTCTTTATTCTCTGTTTTCATAAACCAACTGCTTTGAAATCCCTGATCCAAATCACCTCTCTGAGGAAAATTATCTTAATCTTATCTGTTTTACTGAATTCATTTTGTTACCTCCTCATTTTAAACTCAATGTGCTCTCATTCTTGATTATTGCCTTATAAATATTTTAATGATCTTTTGTATATGTAGCTTCTCTCTCCATCATGAAATAGGCTCTCATTAATTTACCACCTGAGTTAATGTGAGAGGAAGGTGGGTAGGGGAGATAGATTTGGAAAGGCTAGAGAAAGAACATAAAGATTTGAGAGGAACTTGTTCTTTTGGAACTTATATAACAATCTGTGGCGATGCATGGAGGAATGTAGTGGGGACATTCATTTTGAATAAAGGGAATGCTGAAGAAATATTAAAGCTATTGAACATTGAAGATTTTTAAAAATACATACACATATAAGTAGGTTAGGCTGCAGCATAAATTCAGTTCTATTTCTTTATACAGAAGAATTTTGTACTGTTAACTTCATTTTCTAGGTTTCATGTTTAATTTTGGAGAGGTCTTAGTCTATCCTTAAATTATCTTAGAATAAAACTCTAACCCTACTTTAAAAAAAAATGTAGTAAATCTTTCTCCATCATGAAGATTTTCATTTGGAATGTGATACTATACATCTGAACATGAATTCTGCTACAAGTATGGTTAATGTACAGAAGGTAAATACTTAACACATTTCTGAATCATCACTTTAAGTTGTTTAATCACGTAGAACTTAATTCACTTCTGGAACCCTCTTAGCAATTTTGAAGTATTTAGTAGCCTGATTTCAGGTGTAAAGGGGTCACTTAAAACTTATCCAATCTTCTTATAGATGTATCTTGGAGGGTCAAGAGAGCCCACCAAATTTTCCCAAGTAAGAATTTTTAGTAAACCAAACACTGGGAAATTATCATTTGTTCTCTAATATTTTTCCCCAGATTTTACTAATTTTATAAAATAACCTAACAAAATTTAAATATGTATGTGTGTATGTATGTGCTCACTTATATGAGTCTGATATGAGTCTATGTGTCCATATCCATACATGTTCATTCATTCATTCATTCATTCATTCATGGAATCAAAAATTATGTGTAACTCTAACTTCAGGCAAGCATTTTTTATTTATTTTTCCCAGAATGAGAGACGCAGCACAAGGGAAGTTTTCAGTTCCATCCTATTTGGTGTGATCTCAAACAGAGGCATATAAGGTTGTAAAATGAAAAAAAAAAAAAATAAAAAGCTAATACTATTATTTTGTTATTGTAACTAGTCATATAAGCAAAAGGTGAAGACCCATAGTATAGTGTAAGAGGTCAGATCAGAAGATCTGACGTGAGGTCCATTTTTGGCACTGGGGACCTTTAAAATGCCGAGGACCATTTTGATCTGTGGTTCCTTAATGGCCTTTGAGTCATCTAAGGCATTCTCATTCATTTGGTGGCAAATCCAATAGAACCCTCCACTGGGAATACTGATGTTTAATTGGCTCTAGCATTCTGAGACACTCTGCTCTCAAGCGGCTGCCATTGTCCTTTACCATCTCACATCATTTCAAAGATTCCCTCATGTATTTCCCTCACTATTATATGTACTTGAACATGTAGAGAATAGCTTCCAGTGGGTACGGGCTTTCTTCCTTTCTTCTAAATCCTCATCAACACCCAATGTAGTGGTGAACATGGAAAAGGGCCTTTGTAACTGCAGGAGACAGTTTGAAATTTCCTTTTCTGCTTAGGAGCTGAATATTTATAGGTAGAGGCAGGGACCTTTGGGTACCTTAGATGCCCACTGCCACTTGGGATCAGATCCATTTGGGTGTGTCAAAGACACTTAACAAGCAAGAGACTGTCATTCGGACTCAACCCAAGTCCTGGTTATGGGTCATGATTCTTTGGGGAGGGCTTGATTCTATGTGAGTACTCTTTCTCATGGGCTAGCCTGGGCACCCTCCATGCCTGTCCTCTCCATCCCTGATCTGTTTCCCTAGAAGTACTTGAGGGATGGGACTGGAAAGGCTGGCTGTTAATTCACATATGGTAAAGTTGCCATGAGGGGCTGGATCTTAGAGCTTACATGCAGCCAAAATCACATCTGGTCAAAAGTTACCTTAGAAAATCCATACATCACCCATAACAATGGCAAGATGCTTACACTCTGAGAGAAGCAGTAACTAAGAACAGCAGAGGGAATGTTAAATGCGAGTCCACGGGGTTGCACATTCACTGCACAGCATCTGATTGCAGAGTGGAATGGTAGGTCGATTCTCCAGCCCATTTAAGTTTTTTATTCGTTTGTTTATTTATTTTTATTTTTCATTGTTGATTTGATAAGCACTCGCCCTTGGATGTGGAAGAGAGAAATGTGTGCATGATGCAGTTCCATTTTTGTGGCCTGTGAGCCGCTCTGATTTATTTATTCTGGAGTTTGTGCTCCATTTGCCCCTGAGAAATTTTAGGGTTTCACAATACGACTTTTGAATTCAGAGTTCCTGTGGCATTTGCATTTATACAAAGCAATGCAGCTGCTGGTTTTTTTTTTTTTTTTTCTTCTTTTGGTAAAATATTTCCCAGCTCTTCATCCACAAAGCGTGAGGTCTACCTTCTTTCTCACTGTTACCCACAGTCTAATAGTGGAGCCTCTATGTAAATTTATGTGACATTTTTCACTAGAAAATTGCTTAAAAATGAATGATATTTCTACAGTTTACTGTTTTTCACTTTAAGTACATTTTCTGACAATATGTCTTCTATTAATCATTTAAGCAATAGTAGGAGCCTTAAAGGAGTGTATTCAGAAGCAAGAACCCATGGTTCATTTAGTGCTGTCTAAAAAAATTTCTTATTGATTGGCATCCTCTGTGGTTATGTGATGTAATATTTATAATATGTCACCCAGCCATACATCAAAACAAGTGTGTCTGTTGTTTCATTTCCATGGTAGATGTTGATTTCAAAGGGGTCAGCCCAGTTTTAGGTCACATTGTGGCCAACCACTGGACCAGAAATGGGAAGTGACTAGATTTATGTAGCAATTGGAAATGGCATCACAGATCCTCGGGTTTCTGTCAAGTCTTTCCTCCCCTCCCCCTAGCCCACCCTTCTGGCTTCCTCACTTACCCCCTGTGCACCCAGTTGGATTTTCTTGGCACACATCCCCACAGTAAAACAGGCTCATTAAATTTCTATGTGAGCATGAACATACTGCCGAGTTGTTGAGTAGAGCCCTGGCCCTGCTGGGGGCAGGAGCGAAACCGTGCCTGGGGGTTCCCTTTGCCATTCATCATAGTTCATGGCTGAGAAATGTCCATTGCCACGTTACTATAGAGCTTAAGCCTGCCCCGTGCTTTGCTGTGTGGACACAGTGCTGTTGTTTGGGGATGAATATTGAATAGAAGTGAAGGTGGTCACAGCAGCCTTCGAGATTGGGGCAGGAAGAGAGCGATGAGGCAAATCATCTAGGCCTGGACCACCAAGGTGCTAAGAAACCACATGAGGCCTCTGTGGACTCCCAACACCAGACACAGTAAGGAATCAAGTATGGGAAGCTTGAGTGCTATTGCTTATCTTCTCTTTCAGCCCTCTTCTTCCTTCTTTCTTTTCTGCAGAAAGAACAATGGCCCGAAGGTCAATAGTCCACAAGTGTTGGACTTCACATTTCAAACAAGGGGGTTAGGCTCGTGGCTCCCAACTCCCTTCTGTTCACTGAACCTTTGTCATGAATTCTCTCCTGCTACTGCCCATCACAGGTCGAGCCTGTCCTTCCTCCCCCCTCCCTGGCACATCCCTCTGTATTCCTTACAACTTTAAATTATTTAGAATGTGACACCCTTTCTTTGTTCCCCAGTAGGGAGCAGCCCTGGGGCCTGCCCAGTGTCTGTAGCACTCAGCCCAAGGGAGGGAGGGAGGGAGTCTCTACCATCTGCAGGCAGTCCTGGGCTGCCACCATTTCCCACCGAGTAGGGAGCTGTAAAACTTGTGGCTTACACAACCCAGTTAGCATTCTCCAGCTAATCTACAATCTGGGCTTTGAAGATCACAAGAAAGCAAAGGTCACGACCCAGAGATCAAAGTGACAGAAGCCCACAGAGTAATTGCCAGTTACCCTCTGTAGAGGGCCTTGGACTGTCCTGTGGGTGTATTGTTTGCACAGAGACTTCAAACATGCTGCCGGTGAACTGTGAGGGAAATCAGCTGGCCTTTGCCAGTTGTCAGGCATTCATTAATGCTGTAGGTGAGCTCACCTCGGCTCATTAGAGTGAGATCATTGTCATCTCTCTGAGCATCTGGAGCTATTCCACTCGCAGTGTTTGTTCATTACTTCTTGGTCTTTATTGGCTTTTTCTCACCACCCTATACCTGG